ACCCGGCCAGTGAGAAGGAATGAACAGGCACTTTTCAAAAGGCAGACAGCACCCAGGATATCAGATAATACATTTCAAAAATTAAAATGCTGAACCTTCCCTGGAGATTGTTGTATCTGTTCTCAAAATCAAAGGATTAGAGATGACCTAAGGTTTCAAATTGCCATCCAGTGGTTGAATCCCCACCATGGGATAGTTCTCTAGATGTCTCTATTCCCTAAACCTGTTAGCCCCTTGGGGGTCTTAAGCTATGAGCCAAACTGCAGGACTTTAAGAAATTAAACAACAAATCTTTACTGAGCACCTACTGTGAGTCCAGCCCCATGAAAACACTGGAGATATAATTTTGAGCAAAACCAGACAGGAACAGAGTTCACATAAAAACTAGAAAACATGTGAAACAGCACCTACATTTCCTTTCACAAGACATAAAGGTCCATCCTACTTCTTATACAGTCCCCTGGTTTGACTGGGTTTTTCGCAAGGCTTATCACATTTCCTTTCATGACAGCTTTCTAAACTTTGTTTATTCCTCCAGCATTTGAATGGAATGCGAAGCAAGTGCATAACCATCTCCCTGCCACCAATGCTCACTCTCCAGGAGTGGCTAGCAGGGCTGATTTTAAGAAAGTCAATGAGGTCCTCATCTGACACTCACCCAGTTCTGTGTGTGGGAGAGGATTCTTAATGTTACATTACTCAGGGCATTTAAGGTACCTGCCAACAGCTAAGATAAACTCTGCAAGTAGGGGCTCATTGGGAAACGCAGGCATGACCCCAAAGCTGTACCACTGTGGGACACACAAAACAACCCAGAAGGGCATGTTTGTAGCGAAAAAAAATCTTTATCTAAAACTCTATATCAATAATAGTTTGCTGGAAAAAAAAAAACAAAAAAAAAACACTTGTCTGTCCTCTGTCTTCCTCCAAAACTGCAGGACCTAGAAAGGATCCCCTGAATCTTCCACAAACATGTGCAATGCTGCCAATGAGACTCAAAGAATATAGGACAAGGGGAAAATCAGCAGTCTTCTCGGGGGACTTACAACTGATCTCGACCCGCCCTACTCTCAGTTCGTTTCTCTGCATACAGCATATGCACATTTAACCATGAGCTTTTGATTAAAGGATCAGGAAGCAGATCCTGGGAAAGGTACAAGAGGGGATGGGAATTTGGGGGAGACCAGTGGGGGCTGCTTAGGTTCAAGGAAATTTGGCAAAGCAATACTCAGTCCCCTTCCAGCCTCCCCATCCTCTCATAATTGCTACCTCTCATAAAACTGCCATTTGCTGAATGTCAGGCACCTTTTACACATTACCTTTTATTCTCATAATAACTACGTGAAGTATGTTTTATTCCTCTTTATAAATAAGGAAACTAGGCTCAAAGAAAAGCAACCTGTCCAAGGTTTCAAAGCTGCTAAGTAGTAGAAGTGAGATTCAAATCCAGGTGTGTCAACTCCCAGCCATAAAACCACAGCGAAGCAAAAGATGTATTATAGTTTCCTAGCTGATTAGGCTACCATTAGCTCTAGGCACTCTGCCTGAGAGGCTGGTAAAGGTGCCTAGGAATGGATTTTTAATCTGATTGTTCCACTAGAAGAACCTAATGGAGGTAGTGTCAAAGAGGCAGCACATCCGTGTGCAGGGACAATGAACCACTTCAAGGGCCTTGTAAACTTTTGACCACCAAGCACTCTCCAGACATGAGTGTATGGCTCTTAAGTATTGAAAAAGCCTTTCTACTAAAACTAGTATAATGTAACTTATGAGTCAGACAGATCTGGGCTCACATCCCTGCTTTGCAACTTGCTATGGAGACTTGGGTAAATCATTTAACCTATTAGTTTTCTCATCTGTAAAATGTAGAATAGCACCTAGATTACTAGCAGGATCATTGGCAGGATTAACTGAGATAATGCACACAATAAGCACTCAATAAATGGTAGCTATTCGTGTTTTCAATAGATTGAAGCTGATAAAGGCAAGTACTTGTCCAAGATCTCCTGGTAAATTAGCAGCAGAGGAAAGGTTTTGAACTTTAAGCCTCTGATTCCCAGGCTGACTCCATTTCCATTACATATCTTCCTTAGGGCTGTGTGTGGATTTTCCAGCTAGGTCTCCGGCCTTCCGATGCAGTCCTACTATGTTTCTGAGCTGGTTTCAGCAATGCTATAGCTAGTCCTGGAGTTGACAGAGCAAATGCTGTCATTCTGTTCCAAGGGAAAGAAGCCCACAGGAGATCATTCAGAACAGGAGTTACTTTCCAGAGTATGGATGCCTTCAGCCTCGGTCCCTGCAGTGAAGTGTTTTTTCAAGCCAATGGCCTCCATACCTCACCCTCTAGTCTCCTGCACCTTATCCTGTGTGCTAACCTCAAGATCCTCTCCTTATCTACCCACTGGTCCTGGTCTAAGAGCAAATTGAGAACAAAGTCCAGGGCTACTCCCTACCTAATCAGATGGATTTATTCCCTTTACAGTTCAATTTGATACTCAGCGATACTCACTGGGTCATCCTTTCCTTAGAGGGGAATGAGCTGAGATAGACAGTAAGACCAGGCAGGCCCCAGCAAAGAAGCAGCAAGGGAAGAGAGAATAATACAGGATTACAGAGATCTGAATATGAAGCTACCTTTGCCATCTCTAGCTGTGGAACCTTAGACAAGTCACTGCCTAAGCCTTAGTCTCCTTATGTGTAAAACTGGATATTGTAGCACCTACTTAGCAGGGCTGTTATGAAAACGAGTAAGAAAGTAGATATGAAAATGAAATATTACTAAATGTTGAGCATTTACTGTGCACCAGACACGAAGCACTCGGATTTACTTCACTGAGTCGTCACAGTAACCTGTGATGCAGGTCCTGTTATTAACCCCATTTTACAGATGAAGAGCCAGGCACAGGAAGGTTAAGTAACTCATTCAAGACAGAGCCGAGATCGGAATCCAGGATATATCTGACTCGGCGCAGAGTTCAACTTCGGCACTACTGACATGGACCCGACACTTCTTTGTTGTGAGGACCGTTCTGTGTGCTGTAGGGTGTTTCACAGCGTCCCTGGTGTCACCTACGTGAGGCCAGTAGTCCTCCCCACCCCAACTCTAACAGCCAAAAATGGCTCCAGACATTGCCAGATGTCCCCTGGGGGACAAAACCACTGCCAGTTAGGAACCATTTCTTTAGAACTTGGCCCAGGACTAAATGCTCAATGCATCTGAGATCCCCTTTTCTTGTTTCTCTCCCAGTTCAAACACCTCATGTGGGATTAATCCAATTAATCTGATGAGGAAAAAAAGACATGAGATCATGTTCCACTCATCCCCTGGAAGTCTCACACAATACCTGTCACCACAGCTTGAAGGGACCGGCAAAGGGGGGCTGGGACAGATGACCTTGAAGAGTCTCCTGCTTTATGATTCCACTGACCACTCTCTCCCCCCCCCTCCCCGAAGCCTACCACTTTCAGCAGGTCTGGGGTTCAGAGTGGAGTCAGTGGGCGTACCACGGCTGCCTCATGGTAAGAGATCTCTGGCTAATAATTGAGGGAGGTTCTGCCCCTCACAGGCAGTCAGGCTCCTTCAGGAGTCCTGAGCTCAAAGACTTACGACTTTCTTGCTGGACCCCTGAACTCTGCTCAACTTCATACGCTCATATACAGTTTCATACATTACTTCTAGGTCTTTGGGTCCCCAGAACTCCCTTTGCTTCCCATGCAGAGACTTCAGGAAAATTCCTTTAGCAGCCCTAGACACCCATCCACGACTCTATTCAGTCTCTTAATTCTACAGTCCAATCAGTACCTCTCCACCCCACCGTTCAACCATTCCTAAATCCCATTCCCAACTCTTCTACAATACAGAATTCCAGCCTTTTGGGCTCTACCCTGCCAGCCTCACCAGTTGCTCACTCATGTGCCCTGAATCCCTGACACAGATCCTTTAATCTCTGTTTCCAAACCTCTGCAACCTTCAGCCCTGCATCACGGTTTAACACCCCAGTCCCACACCTCAGGTGTGTGCCCTCCCTCAAGCAGAGCCTCCACCCACTGCATGCCATCAGGAATCCTGCCCCGCCCTCAAGCCCTGCTCCTTCCTCTTGCCCACCCGTGTCTTCTGTCGCTTCAAACCTTAGCCAGGTCTCTTCTTTCTGCCGACCAGATACTGCTTCCCACTGGTTCCCGCACGAACTCAGCCCCTCATTCTTCCCCAGATTCCCCTCGGGAAAACGCTTCCTCCTCAGCCATGATGATAGCCCCGGACCCTGCTCCCTCTGACCTCAGATCTCGCCCCCCCGCCCCAAAGCCTAATGCCCCCAGACTCCCTCAATCCTCCTGAGATTCTGCACCCCAAACCTCACCAAGGCTCCCCCATTCCTTCATATTTCCGAGACTCTGCACCCCTGGTCCCTCCAGGGCCTTCAGATCCCCTCCCGTCTCCCAGATGCTGCACCCGTCTCTCCTCAGGGCCCCACATTACCTCATACCTCCCGAGATGCTGCACCGCGACTCTTCTCAGAGTCCCTCGCTCCCCTCCCCGGCCGTATTTCCTCCGAGCTCCTCAGCCCCGTCTCGGACCCCCGCCGCTCCGAGCCTGCCCCCGCGCAGCCCCACCCCCACCCCGATCCCACTCCTCAGATCCGGTCCCCCAGACCCTGCCATTCTGGCGTGGACCGGCCGCTGCACGCCGGCACAGCCCCCCGCGCCGCTCGTCAGCCACCGCCCGCGACTCCGGCCTCGGTCCCGGGTCTCCCACCGTCCACCCCGCCCCCTACCTGACCGCCCGCGGCTCCGACGCGTCCACTGCTGCCAGCCCACCCGCCCGCCGCGCTCTGCGCACGCGCCAACGCGCGCCCCTTGGCGGGCGCCAATTCGCAGAACCGCCTGTCCGTCACTTCGCCCCGCCCCCCCCACAGGCATGCTGGGGCTTGTAGGCAGCGGCGCCCGAGCTCGCGGCCCAGCGGCAGGGTGGCGGCGAGCCCTCTGGAAAGAACGAGGTGTCTTGGGAACACGTAGTTCAGCTTTCTGTCCCCGTTGTACGGTTAAAGAAACTGAGGCCCAAGTTCACTCAGCAAGTCGGGAGCTAAACCAGAACTCACGTGTCTGACCCCTATCTGTGTCAACCCCTTTGCTAACCCATGGCCTCCGGGAGTGTTCCTCCGCCAAGACTTGGCACCTCTCAGAAAGGCCTCGCTCCACGTCAGCTTTGCCATCTGAGAAATGGGCCAAGGAGACGATACAACCTCCACTCTGGGGCAAGCACAGAACCTGGACGCGCCTGGGAAGGTAGCTCTTCGGGCCCCTCAGTTCTCCCTGTGACACACCGCAGCAGCCTAGAGATAAGCTTATCTGATGAACAAATTGCTCTCCTGAAGGATTCTTACTCCTACTCAGCTGGGAGGCCGACAGCGGAGGTAGATATGAGAGCACACTCTCCATCCTCTGTAGAAGCTACCCAGGAACCCAAAGCCAAGTCTAATTTTGGGGGAGCCAGGAGGGGTAAGAGTCTTCACAGGTAAGCGATGGTCTAGCCTGTTGGCAGGGGAGGACCCTGGGTGGTTTGGGGCCAACTACAGGCTCCTGCAGGTGACCGTATAGTATAGCTTAAGAGTAGGAAGGAGTTTGAAGGAGGATGCGCTTGGATTTGACATCCCGGGAAGATAATGTGACCCTTCACAATGATAAAACAACAAACAAAAACAATAACGAAACTGTCTGGCTGCAGCTAAACACTTCACGTGCGTATAGTTCACTTAGTCTTCATAATCACCCTACGAGATAAGCAACTGATGCCCAGGTAATTGAATAACAGGGTCCCAAGTTGATAAGTCCCTCAACCTCTCAGCCCTTTGCGGGGGGGGGAGGGGGGCGGGCGCTGCACCATGGGGCATGAGAGATCTTAGTTCACCGACCAGGGATGGAACCTGTGCCCCCTGCAGTGGAAGCACGGAGTCTTAACCAAGGGACCGCCAGGGAAGTCCCTCTTTATTTCTAAATGGAGATGAGGTTTGCTATAGGATTAACTGAGATTATGTATAGTGGTTTGCATTTAACTAAGGGTATGCTCACTGCATGCCCAGCAAGTACTTGCAATTTGATGATTTCTCACAAAGCATATACCAGGTTGGATTTTAATTACCCACTTCCCTGCAGTTGTCACCAGTGGGCTGTGAACTCCCTGAAGGGCACTGCCTGCTGGTTGTCATATCTGTTAGCACTCTGCGCAGCACGCAGAAGTTGCTGAGTGAGTCAGACTCAGAAATGTGACCTTAGGCAAATCACATCCCCTGTCTAACTTAGAGTTAGTCCTGCTGCGGAATGACTCAGTGGGGTCAATCGAATAAGAGCGGACCATTTTTTGAACACCGGCAATATACCAGACACTCCATAGATACTGTCCTATGTCACAATTAATCTTTTCAGCAATGATTCAAGTAGGCATCAGTAGCTTTATCTTACAAAAGAGGCAACCGAGGCTGGGCAAGATTAAATGGCTTGCCTACAGTCACCTTTTGGGAAGTGGCAGGGCTGGAGTACAAATCCAGGCCAGTTAGGCTCATGACATGCTCCAAACCACCGTCCAAAGACTACCCACATTTTACGACACCAGCTGTCTTTCTATTGATACTTTATTAAGTAAGGTTTGTTTTTAAGCCTCAGAAGACAAGAGAGATGATATTTAGGAATTCAAGGAAAATGAGGCAAATGGTGCCTGTCATTATGACCACAGATCATGATCCTGTAAGGCAAAGACCCTCAGATGAGCTGTTCTGAGCAGCATTGCCAGCGAAAAAGAGGGACTGCCGTCTGCCCTGGGTTTCTGCCATGTTGGAGACTTAGTGCAGCCTGTTTCACCAGAATGGCAAAGAGCCTCTCTGGACAGAAGCCTGGGGTTCTTCTACCAACCACTGTGTTACAGGTGGGGGAGATGGGACAGTTACTGTCAAACGGTTTATTCCCAGCCTTGAGACCTCACTTATACCCCCTTCTTAGACAAGGTGGGGAGTTAGCACTCTGTTTGATGAAAACCACGGTTACAAGCCCAAAGTCTCAATTCAAGACTCATCATATTTTTTTACTGACCTTTCCCCTATCATAGGGAAGAGCTAATAGTATCCCTGACAGTCTGGGGACATAGTCCAATCATGCTTTCAAAAAACAGCGACAACAACAAACCGTTTCTTTTCTCTTAAAAAAAATCTGTTTGCCTTAAAAAATGTTTAAATTACTTACCAGTTAAATTAATTACCATGCTTCCCACAAAAATCTCCGAGTAAAATAAACACCCTGGGAAAATGCACTTATTTTAATCCTGTGGCTTTGCATACCCTTGACACATTATCAGTTTTCCTCATAGACAGAGACATTTAAAAAATACTCTTTGTGGAGTACTTTATTCTTTATTCAGCATTTTACCATAACTTTTTTTTTTTTTCATTTAACATTTAAACCACCTGTTTCAGTTTGCTTGTGCTGTAGTAACAAAGTGTCACAGACTGGGTGTTTTAAAACAGAGAAATTTATTCCCTCACAGTTCTGGAGGCTAGAAGTCTGAAATCAAGGTGGCAGTGGGGCAAGACTTTCTCTGAAGTCTCTAGGGAGGATCCTTCCTTCTTCCAGCTTCTGGTGGCCCCAGGTGTTCCTTGGTTTATGGTAGCATAACTCCAATCTCTGCCTCCATGGTCATTTTCTCCCTGTATGTCTCTGTCTTTCCATGGCATCCACTTCTCTTTGTGTGTCTGTGTTGACTGAAAAAAATGCATAACCCAGAAGTTGAGAATTATATTTTATTTGGCGGACAATCTGGGGACTTAAGCCCAGAAGACAGCCTCTCAGATAGCTCTATGGGACTGCTCCCAAGAGGTAAGGGAGGAGCCAGGATACGTAGCAGTTTTGCAACCAAAACCAGGTAATCTGAACATCAAAAGATTACTGTTAGTTAAAGAAAACCAGACTTTTCAAGTTAATGAATTTAGTGTTTTTTTTTTTTAATTTATGAGAAGATGCAAGAGTCTGGGCTGATTGAAATCATTCCTTTGATATGCACCTTAACTATCTGGGGCCAGTATCCTGCTTTTCTCCATCCTGAATCCCCTCAGGGTGCACAGGTTGGGGGTGGCTTCAGTGGCTGCTGGCTTGATGGCGGCAACATTCTTTGTCTCCTGATGTGGCAGGCGACATTTTGCATCCGTACCTGTGTCTTCTTATAAGGACACCGGTCCTATTAGATTATGACCTCTATGTTACCCAATTAAAATTCCAGTATGACTTCATCTTAACTAATTGCATCTGCAGCAACCCTATTTTTAAATAGAGTCACATACTGACATACTGGGGGTTAGGATTTCAGCACATCTTTTGGGGGACACAGTTCAACTGATAACGTCCCCCTATCAGCTAAGCGTTGTTTTCTCCATTTACAAATAAGATCTGTAGTTTAACCTCTCTTTCATTCCCTTTAAAATGGTGGTAACAACAGCTAATTCACAGCATCGTTGGGAGCAGAATAAGATACGGGTGTTAAGCACTTACATATTAGGATATTGCCTAACTTGCAGTAATGTCCATTGCATTGCATTTATTATTATTAAGTTTGCTTATTAAGTCCACCATTGTGTGGTAGAGGGCTTCAGAGTCAGACAAACCTGGGTTGGAACCCCAGTTCCACCCACCTGGAAGGTTTGGGGAATAGGTTAGAAGATGATTCGAAGTAATGCTTAGTAACTTGTTGCAGCTGACAAGCTGTGTAACCTTGGACAGCTTACTTAATTAGCCTTTCTGTACTTCACTTTCCACCCCTGCAAAATGGGAATAATAGTAGTTATCTACCTCATAGTAATGTTGTAAATTTCAGATGATTTAATAGATCTAGTTTTTAGAGCACTTCCTGAAAAAGTGTTCTATGAATGATAGCTGTTAGTGTCATTATTATTATTATTACTATTTTGACAAAATGTTCTCTTTTCCTTCTCATATTAGCAGCTGAATTCTGAGGAGAAGGATAAAGGTCTTGTTTATGGAAAACAGGGTAGAAAATCTAAGGAGTTAAAACTTGAATGCATCCTAACCAAATCGGTCTGAGTCTGGGGATTTATAACTGCTAGCAATTCCATGAAATCATGGAAAATTATATCTGTCTATCTGTATTACTTATCTATCAGGGAATAACAAATTACCCCCAAACTTTGTGGTTTAAAACAACACACATGTTTTATCTCACAGGTTCTGTGAGTCAGGAATCTGAGCACACCTTAGCTAGATCTGCTTCATCGTCTCTCACGAGGCTGCAGTCAAGTTATTGGCCAGGGCTGGAGTCTCTCCTGAAAGTTGCAGGAAGGAGCGGTTTCCAAGATCTCTTAGGTTGTTGTTGGCAGGTTTCAGTTCTTTAAGAGCTGTCGGACTGAAGGCTTCATTTCCTTGCTGGCTTTTGGCTGGAAACTGCGCTCAGGTCATTGCCACAGGAGCTATTCCAGGACAGCTTGTTTCAGCAAAACCGGCGAGAGAGAGAGGTCACAGCCTTTTGTAACCTCATCACAGGAGTGGCATCCCCTCAATGTTGCTGTATTCTGTTGGTTAAAAGCAAGTTACTCAAGTGGAAGAGATTATAACAGTGTGTATCAGGAGGTAAGATTATCACAGGCTGGTTTCGAGGCTCCATCCCTCCCACCCACCTTCCGCCTCTCCCTCTCCCCACTTCGTCCTTCCTTTCTCTTCTCCCTCCCTGGGTCTTTCATTCTGCTTATGTACATATCGGTGTACATCTCACATAGATATCTTACATCTGTCTGTCTGTCATTTGTCTACTTTCTGCTGAAACTCTGACTCCAATCTCTGTATGTCATACTCAATCCCTGTGGGTTTCTCAACCTAGCCTATACTTGATACTTAGTAAGTGCTCAGTAAATGTTTGAATTCTATTTAAATTTACAGCATAAAAGATAAGTTTTTTTTTTTTGTTTTTGTTTTTTTTTTGCGGTATGTGGGCCTCTCACCGTTGCGGCCTCTCCCGTTGTGGAGCACAGGCTCCGGACGTGCAGGCTCAGCGGCCATGGCTCACAGGCCCAGCCGCTCCGCGGCATGTGGGATCCTCCCAGACCGGGGCACGAACCCGCGTCCCCTGCATCAACAGGCGGACTCCCAGCCACTGTGCAACCAGGGAAGCCCATAAAAGAGAATTTTTAAAGTCAACTTTATCCATCACCTAATATAACCATTATATTGATTATATTTATGTAAATACTTACCAAGTTTCCTTTTAGTCTGTTCATACATACTTGTGACCATGCTGGGTCTCCAACATTTTTTTTTTAAAATAAATATAAGGTTTTATCTTTTACTTTATGGAAAAATGTTTGAAATCATATTTTTCTGGCCTTTATGGTTGTCAAACTGTCTATATAAGAACTTGTCAAGTTGACAGGCTCATCTTTAAACATTTAACCATCACAAATAAAACTGCATAAATGTCCTTTGTGCTTTCTTTTGTTTGATTTATTTCCTTGTGCTGATATGGAA